ACTTCACCGACAGATGTTGCTCTCCAGTTTTGTGAAGAAACAAAGCTGTGGTTGAATTTATTCTGCCACTGTGTCTTCTTATTGTCTCGGCCTTAGGCCTATATATCACGGTGTCAAGGCATATAAACTAACAGGTTATAGCGCAAACAATGTAATTATCACAACACAGGTTGTAATAAGGCTTTTTTTCCTGGTTTGGCTTCCTCAGTGATTTTACCCATGCACCGCTGCTACTGCGTCAACTACAGACACAGTATATCATGCCATATACAACACAGGCACAGCTCTCTTTCTACCTCTGAGGCAGCATCATCACTTCCACAAAAATGCGCACTCTGCTATCTTGGGCTCACAATAAACAGCGCATTGGCATAGTAGGCTAAAGCTTATTTACTCACTAGTGTGATCAATCACATGAAAACAGAAGGTCGAAATAGCCATTCAATGATTTTGTGCCTGAAAAAAAGAGCAGGCATTGCTGTGTCCACTCATACGCAACCCCCCACACATCTCTGCTACAGCTATCAAAGTCCGCATCCTGGAGTCAATGGCATGCGAATGTGTTTTTTTCTTCGTGGAATTATGTACCACCTCTGGCGTAACATCTGGCGTATCATCTGCATAGCCGTCCAATCGACCAGTGTGTTGTGAACCACATTAGCATGAGCAACAATAGTGGAATCGGCGGTTCGCCTTTAAAATAAAAGTCCCCATTGAAACTGATGCAAACGGATAATAATAGCATAATCATGCCACAATTGGACTAGATGTTATATCAATTCAACAAGACAAATATTAGTTAATTTGACCTCCCGAAAAGTAAAAATCAGTTGAAATCGCACAGAATTGCATTGGGGGCATACTTACAGGCTGTACAGCCTAACCTATGGATTGTGCACCCATGAAATGGGGTGTCAGCCTACTCAGTGACACTCACAGAACACAACTGTGTAGAGTTTACACAAATATTAGCGCCTTAGCTCTGATTTTGGGACTCTAAAATCACTGAAATTAGCAACATTAAGCTCACCAGTCAACCTGTATATTGAACATTCATATTGCAATGTACAGCCTAACATATTTGTATTTATTATGGATCCCCATTAGCTGCTGCCAAGTCAGCAGCTACTCTTCCTGGGGTCCGGCAAAATTAAGGCAGTTATACAATTTTAAAAACATTACAATACATTCATAACAGATTTGACAACACACTAAGTGTGTGCCCTCAGGCCCCTACTCCACTACCACATATATACAACACAAAATCCATGTGTACGTGTGTGTATAGAGCGTATGTTATCATGTGTGTGTATGCATGTGTCTGTGCCTATGTTTGTGTTGCTTCACAGTCCCCGCTGTTCCATAAGGTGTATTTTTATGTTTTTTAAATCTGATTATACTGCTTGCATCAGTTAGCTGATGTGGAATAGAGTTCCATGTAGTCATGACTCTATGTAGTACTGTGCGCCTCCCATAGTCTGTTCTGGACTTGGGGACTGTGTAGAGACCTCTGGTGGCATGTCTTGTGGGGTATGCATGGGTGTCTGAGCTATGTGCTAGTCGTTTAAACAGACAGCTCGGTGCTTTCAACATGTCAATACCTCTCACAAATACAACTAATGATTAAGTCAATCTCTCCTCCACTTTGAGCCAGGAGAGATTGACATGAATATTATTAATGTTTGCTCTCTGTGTACATCTAAGGGCCAGCCGTGCTGCCCTCTTCTGAGACAATTGCAATTTTCCTAAGTCCCTCTTTGTGGCACCTAACCACACGACTGAACAGTAGTCCAGGTGCGACAAAACTAGAGCCTGTAGGACTTGCCTTGTTGATAGTGCTGTTAAGAAGGTAGAGCAGTGCTTTATTATGGCTAGACTCCTCCCCATTTTAGCTACTGTTGTATCAATATGTTTTGACCCTGACAGTTTACAATCCAGGGTTACTCCAAGCAGTTTAGTCACCTCAACTTGCTCAATTTCCACATTATTTATTACAAGATTTAGTTGAGGTTTAGTGTTTTGTGAATGATTTGTCCCAAATACAATGCTTTTAGTTTTTTAAATATTTAGGACTAACTTATTCCTTGCCATCCATTCTGAAACTAACTGCAGCTCTTTGTTAAGTGTTGCAGTAATTTCAGTCGCTGTAGTAGCTGACGTGTATAGTGTTGAGTCATCCGCATACATAGACACACTGGCTTTACTCAAAGCCAGTGAGTGGCATGTCGTTAGTAAAGATTGAAAAAAAGGAAGGGGCCTAGACAGCTGCCCTATGGATTGTGCACCCATGAATCGGGATATCAGCCTACTCAGTGACACCCACAGAACACAACTATGTAGAGTTTACACAAATACACTGAACAAAAATATAAACACAGCATGTAAAGTGTTGGTCCCATGTTTCATGAGCTGAAATAAAAGATCCCAAAAATGTTCCATATGCACAAAAAGCTGATTTCTCTCAGATTTTGTGCACAAATTTGTTTACATCCCTGTTAGTGAGCATTTCTCCTTTGCCAAGATAATCCATCCACCTGACTGGTGTGGCATATCAAGAATCTGATTAAACAGCATGATCATTACACAGGTGCACCTTGTGCTGGGGACAATAAAAGGCCACTCTAAAATTAGCAGTTTTGTCACACAACACAATTCCACAGATGTCTGAAGTTTTGAGGAAGCATGCAATTGGCATGTTGACTGCAGGAATGTCCACCAGAGCTGTTGCCAGAGAATGTAATGTTCATTTCTATACCATAAGTTGCCTCCAACGTCGTTTTAGAGAATTTGGCAGTACGTCCAACTGGCCTCACAACCGCAGACCATGTGTATGTTGTCGTGTGGGCGAGCAATTTGCTGATGCCAACGTTGTGAACAAAGTGCCCCATGGTGGCGGTGGAGTTATGGTATGGGCAGGCATAAGCTACAGACAACGAACACAATTTCATTTTATCGATGGCAATTTGAATGCACAGAGACCGTGATGAGAGCCTGAGGCCCATTGTCTTGCCATTCATCCACCGCCATCACCTCATGTTTCAGCATGATAATGCACAGCCCCATGTCGCAAGGATCTGTACACAATTCCTGGAAGCAAAACATTTCCCAGTTCTTCCATCGCCTGCATACTCACCAGACATGTCACCCATTGAGCATGTTGGGAATGCTTTGGATTGACGTGTACAACAGCATGTTCCAGTTCCCGCCAATATCCAGCAACTTCGCACAGCCATTGAAGAGGAGTGGGACAACATTCCACAGGCCACAATCAACAGCCCGATCAACACTATGCAAAGGAGATGTGTCTCGGTTCATGATGCAAATGGTGGTCACACCAGATACTGACTGGTTTTCTGATCCACGCCCCTACCTTTTTGTTAAAGGCATCTGTGACCAGCAGATGCATATCTGTATTTCCAGTCGTGAAATCCATAGATTATGGCCTAATTTATTTATTTCAATTGACTGATTTCCTTATGTGAACTGAAACTCAGTAAAATCTTTGAAATTGTTGCATGTTGTGTTTATATTTTTGTTCAGTATATGTGAAGTCAGAATTGCATTGGGGGCATACTTATATTCACAATACAGCCCAACATATGGATTGTGTATCCATGAAATGGGGTATCAGTGACACCCACAGAACACAACTATACTGAACAAAAATATAAACGCAACATGCAACAATTTCATTGATTTGACTGAGTTACAGTTCATATGAGGAAATCAGTCAATTTAAATAAATAAATTAGGCCCTAATCTATGGATTACACATTACTGGGAAATACAGATATGCATCTGTTGGTCACAGATACTATTAAAAAAAATGGGCCTGACAATGGGCCTCAGGATCTCATCACGGTAAAATGCAATTGTGTTTGTTGTCGGTAGCTTATGCCTGCCCATACCATAACCCCACCACCACCATGGGGCACTCTGTTCACAACGTTGAAATCAGAAAACCGCTCGCCCACACTACACCATACTCTTGGTCTGCGGTTGTGAGGCAGGTTGGACGTACTGCCAAATTCTCTAAAATGACGTTGGAGGCGGCTTATGCTAGAGAAATTAAAATTAAATACTCTGGCAACAGCCCTGGTGGACATTCCTGCAGTCAGCATGCCAATTGCACGCTCCCTCAAAACTTGAGGCATCTGTGGTATTTTAGAGTGGCCTTTTATTGTCCCTAGCACAACGTGCACATGTGTAACGATCATGCTGTTTAATCAGCTTCTTGATATGCCACACCTGTCAGGTGGATAGATTATCTTGGTAAAGGAGAAATGCTCACTAACAGAGAAGTAAACAAATGTGTGCATAACATTTGAGAGAAATAAGCTTGTTGTGCGTATGGAACATTTACATTTTACATTTCTGGGATCTTTTAGTTCAGCTCATGAAACATGGGATCAACACTTTACATGTTGCGTTTATATTTTGGTTCAGTGTTTATAGAGTTTACACAAATATTAGCATCATAGCTAGATCTTATTGAAGGAATTTTAATGAATGTACAATTGTGTTGAATATCAGTTGGAAAAACACCTTAACACTTTTTTTTTTGCTTATCCTGTTTGTTTCCAGTGTGAAATAAAATGCCATTCCATAGTATACTTTAGTTGAAAATCCAACTGCTTCAAAGACACAATGTAAACAATGATGGACTGACATAGCTGTTAACGACCTATCCACCGTGCGATTTCAACAGATTTTCTTGGTCTAATTAACTAATAATTGTATTTTATTTTTTTTATTTATATAACAGCATTCCAACATTGTTTAGCATTATCAAGTCCAATTGTGGCATGATTCTACTATTATCCGTTTACATCAGTTTCAATGGAGGATATTTATTTTGAAGGCGAACCGCCGTCTCCAATATTGTTGCTCACACTAATGTTGTTCACGACACACACGTCGACTCTGTGACTGGCGACCAGGCGGGATTGAAAAGGTTGTCCGTATTAGGCTATAATAACTTAATTGAAAGACAATAGAATATGGCATTGAATAGTTGCAGTGGAGTTCCCAAATGGGAAAGAAGAACACGTTTGTTTCTTTGTATCTTCGGTTTGTTTTTGTCATTCTATGCTCTGCACGTTGAGATTTCGCGAGAGAAGGACCCAGAGTATCGGGCGATGTGTGACCTGGGAGATTCTGTGAGCTGCTCTAAAGTTTTCACCTCAAGGTAAAATAGTGGAGAATGTATTTTCTTCATACATAGGCCTATAGTTTATTGCTGTGCTTTGAAGCCGTTTCCAGATTTATTAGTAGCCTAGGCCTGTTGGGCAATTAACGCACTTCTATAACCCAACCAGTTTACTAAACTGAATTATCGCTGTAGCCTAAATGAAATGTTCGGTTGCATACGAATAGACAACGTTGTTCCTAGAATTCCTAGGTAAAGATGATCTATTATATTTCAAAGATAGTCGAGTGACCACTCTAACAATAGAAATACATGTCCTCAAAGATGGAAGGCAGTTGGGAGGAGAGATCAGGCGGGACCATTCTAGCCAATGAGAGTGCAGATACGTGTGTGAACAACAGGCACAACTCTTGATATAAAGTAGATGTTTTAAGTTGCCGAAATGCCACGTGCGTCCACTTATCAGTGCATTCGTAACAACCTAACCATTACGAACCTTCTATTCGATAAAATAAGCCTCACGTAGCAAATTAGCAATTACATGAGTTGTTTACTAAATTCGACACTCATCCATACTAACATCCATACAAAAGTTCCACAGCTCGTGGTTATTTTCGTGGACAGATTTTGGCCGGAGTAAAACCTCTCGCTTCGCCTCTCTTCTAGAATCTCTACCCCCTCTCAATGCCACGTACAGCCTAAAACAATCTGGGAAGCACTGCACAGGTCCTTATCAGTTTTTTAGTTTGTATTTATTTTGATGACCTGCAACACGTTCTGTCTTTTAAATGATTAACATGTTTATTTTTGTTAGGTGGATCTTAGTCAAGACGATACCAAAGACAGTCCATTTTCCTATCATTGTTATGGCATAGTTATTCTATTCTATAGCCTTGGTGTGTGGTTATAGAATGTGTCTTTGGTATCATCTTGAATTAAATTGTGGCATTCAGATTAGACAAACAATTCACACATGACAGATAGGATACAGTGCATTATAGTATTTATAAATATAGGCCTACACGGTCACAACAATACATTTTAATTTAAAAGCCGTACTGATGCCACATAATGACATGCTTGTATCATACTTATAATCACATAATGCATGACAAAGCGTTGTTTTGCCTCTTTGTTTTGTCAGATGGGGACGTGGGTTTGGGCTTGTGCAATTCTTCGTTGCTAAAGACAGTGCACTGAATCAACCCAACAGTCTGTTGGGGATCATTTTCTACACATTGCAACTGGCTCTGGGTAGGTCAAATACTCTATGTCTGTTTTCTGATCAGTTTAGACTATCTTTTGACCAACACAATACAGCTCAACTGACCTATTGTCACCCCCCTTAACACTACCCTCTACTGTTATATCATCTGATCTTTATTTGGATTAGCTGACACCATGATGACAACTAATTTTACTGGGCTAATCTGCCTGGGTTGGTGTCCATATATATTCTATAGTGGTTGATTATTTGGAATTATCACTAGGCCGTACGTGATAAATTCTTATCAAGTGCTATCTAGTATGCATATACCAGGGTTGGGGTCAATTCCAATTCAATTCTTGAATTTGCTCATTAAGCAGAGAATTTACGTTGAGTTCAATTAGAATTTCTAGAATCTTCAAATGATGGAATTGGAATTTAATCTGTTTAGACTGATAGAATTGGAATTTAATTTGTAAAAAAAAAAAAGAGTATTTGGAATTTTATTGGAAATCAATATTTGTACATTTCCCATTGAATGGAATTATTGCACTTAGTATAAAAAAAATGGACTGAAGGATTTGTAATCAATTCTTTCAACTTGTATTTCCAGTATAACTAGGCTGTCTGAACAGTGACATGATCAGCCTGAAAGCCCGGGGGAATTGAATTTGAATTTGTGGAATTTAATTTCAGGAGTTTACCTAACATTGGAGTTGAGAGGAATTTTATTATCTCTGAATTCAAAGACTGACCTGGAATTTAAATGGAATTTACAGGGAATTGAATTAGAATTGAATTAGTGGAATTAACCCCAGCCCTGGCATATATACGATTATACAACATTTCAGACACCCATGACAGTTCCCCATTCTGATTATTTTATGTTATGCAGGGATGCTATACTGTCTCCTTACTCACTGGGTGCATCCCAAATGGCACCCTATTCCCGTTTTGCACTACTTTTGACCAAAGGCCTATGGGGGCCCATAGGGCTATGGTCAAAAATGGTGCACTATATAGAGAATAGGCTACCATTTGGGACACATACTGTCTCTTTTGCTTGCAGGTCAGTCTGTGTCCAGTAGGGCAGCATTCCTTCTGGTCTTGTCCTCCTGGGTGTCCATGGCTGGATCGCTCTACCTAGCCGGAGTGCTTGCCTTCATTCTGGGAGATTTCTGCGTGGTCTGCGTCTCAACTTATGTGGTTAACTTTTTGCTACTCTTCACCAATCTGAAGAGAAGGACAGGACTAAAGGCAGTCAAGGAAAAAACTGGCTGAGGGACTATCTTTGTGATCTCAGATCAGTGCAAATAGTTAGGAAAGGAGGTGTTTTGTTACATGGCCGCAGGCAGTTGAATTGGGGACTAAAAATGGGTTACTGGCATAGAAAGTAAGTTAAACGAATCTTGTGAAAATTAAGCATAGCAAACTTTCAGGCCTGGTTTAGCATCACTTAGGACATTGATGCATCAGTGACAAATCAGTCGTATTGTTCTTTCATTGGGTGCTCTTGGGACTGGTAAAAAGGGTTGAGTACATTATAATTATGATACTACATACCTCATTTCTGAAGTGATAGCAGTTATTACATCCACCTTTATTGACCAAATCACATTATACTTACGTAATCCAGACTGTTACAGATAAATGGGCCATTAATTCAATGTCTGTTTCTTTTAACATAATAAAATCGGATGTTCTCTCATAGCTGCATGTTTCGTTCTAAGCTGCTCTGCTGGTCAAGCTTGTAATACATGTTAACAGGTAGATATTATTTATTCATTTTAAGTTAAGACTTTATTTGAAGGGGGTATACACACCACCTTTATGAACCCAGTCATAACATTGACTGTGTACCGGTACCCCCCTGTATATAGCTTCCCTACTGTTATTTTATTTTACTGCTGCTCTTTATTTTTTACTTATTTCTATTTTTTACTTAACACTTTTTTTATTTTCTTAAACTATATTGTTGGTTAAGGGCTGTAAGTAAGCATTTCACTGTAAGGTCTACACCTGTTGTATTCGGTGCATGTGGCAAATAAAATTTGATTTGATTTGACTGGGCAGGGGTGCAGCCACTGAGGAGCTAGGACCTGCCAATCAGAATGAGTTTTCCCCACAAAAGGGCTTTATTACAGACAGAAATACTCCTCAGTTTCATCAGCTGTCCAGGTGGCTGGTCTCAGATGATCCCACAGATGAAGAAGCCGGATGTGGAGGTCCTGGGCTGGTGTGGTTACACGTGGTCTGCGGTTGTGAGGCCGGTTGGACGTACTGCCAAATTCTCTAAAAAGAGTAGAGAAAAACATTACATTTTCTGGCAACAGCTCTGGTGGACATTGCTGCTAATTGCACGCTCCTTCAAAACTTGAGACGTGGCATTGTGTTGTGTGAAAAAACTGCACATTTTAGAGTGGCCTTTTATTGTCCCCAGCACAAGGTGCATCTGTGTAACGATAATGCTGTTTAATCAGCTTCTTAATATGCCACACCTGTCAGGTAGATGGATTATCTTGGCAAAGGAGAAATGCTCAATAACAGGGATGTAAACAAATTTGGGCAAACATTTGAAGCGAGTAAAAATCATCTGTCCTCAGTTGCAACACTCAGTACCGAGTTCCAAACTGCCTCTGGGAGCAACGTCAGCACCAGAACTGTTCGTCGGGAGCTTCATAAAATGGGTGCCCATGGCAAAGCACAAGCCTAAAATCACCATGCGCAATGCCAAGCGTCGGCAGGAGTGATGTAAAGTTTGACGCCATTGGACACTGGAGCAGTGGAAATGCGTTCTCTGGAGTGATGAATCACACTTCACCATCTGGCAGTCAGACGGACGAATCTGAGTTTGGCGGACCCCAGGAGAACGCTACCTGCCCCAATGCATAGTGCCAACTGTAAAGTTTGGTGGAGGAGGAATAATGGTCTGGGGCTGTTTATCATGGTTCGGGCTAGGCCCCTTAGTTCCAGTGAAGGGAAATCTTAACGCTACAGCATATAATGACATTCTAGACGATTCTGTGCTTCCAACTTTGTGGTAACAGTTTGGGGAAGGCCCTTTCCTGTTTCAGCATGACAATGCCCCCGTGCACAAAGCGAAGTCCATACAGAAATGATTTGTCGAGATCGGTGTGGAAGAACTTGACTGGCCTGCACAGAACCCTGACCTCAACCCCATCGAACACCTTTGGGTTGAATTGGAACGCCGACTGCGAGCCAGGCCTAATTGCCCAACATCAGTGCCTGACCTCACTAATGCTCTTGTGGCTGAATGGAAGCAAGTCCCCGCAGCAATGTTCCAACATCTAGTGGAAAGCCTTCCCAGAAGAGTGGAGGCTGTTATAGCAGCAAAGGAGGTACCAACGCCATATTAATGCCCATGACTTTGGAATGAGATGTAGCGTATCTGTGGAGTTAAAGTATTCAGTAAATTATTAGCCAACATTGGAGTCACAATTAATGACAGCTCTAGAAGTTGGTAGTTAAGAGCACGAGGTGAAGCATATTCAGATAATTATCTGCTGCCATGGATAACAAACCTCACTATCAGGCACATATAATTTATTCAATCTCAATCCACTCTTTTTTAATGGCACCTCAAGATTTCTACTGGCATTGTTTCTGCTGGCATTTCTACTGGCATTGTCCTCTGTGAATTTCATAAAAATAGTGAAACATTAAAAAAGTTATCATTTTTAGATAAAACTATACTAAATATATTCACGTCACCAAATAATTGATTAAAACACTGTTTTGCAATGAAGTTCTACAGTAGCCTCATCAGCACTCTGTAGGTTAGCTAGCTGGCTATGGCTATCCAACACTGGAACTCTTCTAAGTCAAGGTAAGCTTTTGGTTTAATTAATCTATTGCCACCGGGGCCCACCGGTGTAACTGCTAAACTGCTTTCTGACTGTACACTGTATGATTGTAGCTAGCGGGTTTACTAATGCGTTAGTTTTAGTAGCTATGTTGACTATGACGTGACAACGATGTAGGCTGTGTGTGGTTAGCGGTCATGATGTGAAGGTTTGGCTTGGAAAGGTTTTTTCGGCTGGTCACAGACTGATGTGTCGTGCCCTGAAGTCCACAAGCGAAGGGAAAAGGTGAGAGGATGAGAGCGCGTATATACAGTGGCTTGCGAAAGTATTCACCCCCCTTGGCATTTTTCCTATTTTGTTGCCTTACAACCTGGAATTAAAATGGATTTTTGGGGTGTTTGATTCATTTGATTTACACAACATGCCTATCACTTTGAAGATGCAAAATATTTTTTAGGGTGAATCAAACAAGGAATAAGACAAAAAAAACAGAAAGCTTGAGGGTGCATAACTATTCACTAAATTACAGGTTGTAATGCAAAAAAATTTGAAAAACGCCAAGGGGGCTGAATACTTTTGCAAGGCACTGTAGTTGCAAGAAGGAATTACATATACAACAAGCAAATTGATCAATCTGTTTTTATGTGGCTGCTATGAAAGTGAACTGTGCTTGTGTGTGACCAGGGATGTATTCATTCTGCAGATTCTGTTGAAAAACGTTTCATAAACGGAAGCAAACGGAATGAAACGAAGATAAAAATACCTGAATTTGTCCAACAGAAATTCACATTTGCAACTGTTGGACTACTGATTACTCCCTAGATCAGCTAGATGCAGGTAAAAGTGTACAAGGCAGTATTGAATGTGTCACTGTCTGTCACCTTGATTACTAAAAATTCTCTACGTTGTAAACTTTCATTCATAGGCTAGGTTGTAGAAATCTCATGATGGGTGCAGGGAAAATTTGAGTATAATAAAGTAGCCTAAACTTAACGATGATACATTGAGCTGCTCAACAAAAAATTATCATCCTCCCTCATCTTAAACGGCAGTGACAACCACTGGCGTGGGTATGGTCAAATTTGCAAGCATGTGGGCCTTTCTCCACATGGAATTAAAAAGTGAACAGAATGCAAATACATTTTAGGAAGCAAATTTTGCACAGTGGCCAGGCGTGTCTGCTCTCATATCCCCTCAAAGATCCACAGGTTCCCGACAGACCGCTGGAGAACGACTCTGCTCTGACTTCCACTGCCAGTATATGGTTGGAAGCAGGACTGTTTTCTGATGACTGTAGAAGGTCGATTCAGACAGTGTCTGCACTTTTAGTGCATTCAAGAACAAACAGAAATGAAGCACAAAAAAAGTAGTTCAGCATTATGCACTTACATTTACATGTCTCCCGAGTGGCGCAGTGGTCTAAGGCACTGCATTGCAGTGCTAGCTGTGCCACTAGAGATCCTGGTTAGAATCCAGGCTCTGTCGTAGCCGGCCGCGACCGGGAGACCCATGGGGCGGCGCACAATTGGCTCAGCGTCTTCCAGGGAAGGGGAGGGAATGACCGGCAGGGATGTAGCTCAGTTGGTAGAGCATGGCGTTTGCAACGCCAGGGTTGTGGGTTCGATTCCCATGGGGGGCCAGTATAAAAAATGATGTATGCACTCACTAACTGTAAGTCGCTCTGGATAAGAGCGTCTGCTAAATGACTCAAATGTAATGCAAATGTAAATTTAAAAGGTTTTAGATAACACTATAACATCTTTTGATCAGACAACATACGAGCCGGGTGAAAGCAATAGCTGCAGTCTGGTGGAGGTTGTCTGCAGGGGTTTTCGACACATACGGCTGACCCTTCCACGTCTTGGTGTGGTCGCAGTGAGGACATACAGTGCCTTCGGAAAGTATTCAGACCCCTTGACTTTTTCCACATTTTGTTACGTTACAGCCTTATTCTAAAATTGATTAAATTCTATTTTTTTCCTCATCAATCTCCACACAATACCCTATAATTACAAAATGAAAACAGGTTTTTAGAAATGTGTGCTAATTTATAAAACATAAAAAACTGAAATACCTTATTTACATAAGTATTCAGACCTTTTGCTATGAGACTCGAAATTGAGCTCAGGTGCATCCTGTTTCCATTGATCATCCTTGAGATGTTTCTACAACTTGATTGGAGTCCACCTGTGGTAAATTCAATTGATTGGACATGATTTGGAAAGGCACACACCTGTCTATATAAGGTCCCACAGTTGACAATGCATGTCAGAGCAAAAACCAAGCCATGAGGTCGAAAGAATTGTCCGTAGAGCTCAGAGACAGGATTGTGTCAAGGCACAGATCTGGGGAAGGGTACCAAAACATTTCTGCAGCATTGAAGGTCCCCAAGAACACAGTGGCCTCCATTATTCTTAAATGGAAGTTGTATGGAACCACCAATTCTTCCTAGAGCTG